TTCAGGGCCCATACTAAGGGACCAACTACCCTGAGAATACCCCGGGACCGGTCCCAGCCTCAAACTGAAAACCTCAAGCACGCGCGATTCGCGCGGCGAAGCTGCAAAAGGACTGGCCCCAAACCCTAAACCCTAAACCCTAAACCCTAAACCCTAAACCCTAAACCCTAAACCCTAAACCCTAAACCCTAAACCCTAAACCCTAAACCCTAAACCCTATGTTCCGCTGACTGCAACGTCTTGACCCGAAGCCCTAGGCCCTGAAGCCCAGGAGTTGGCATCCTGAGCCCAAAAATTGGGATGCTCCCCCTCATACTAACAGCCCTGAATAGGGAGTACAATAAGGGGGTACTATAAAGTCCCGAATAGGGATTGTAATTGGGGGGTAGTATCATCCCTACAGTCCTTCATAGGGATTATGATTGGGGGTACTCTAATCCCGCTTAAGGACTGTTACAAGGGGAACATCCCAACCTGAAACCCTAAAAAGGTTTACGTAAGGTGTGCCTGACTCCTGAACTGTAAGCCCGGAAGCTTTTGGCGCTGTGAGGGAACCCGTCAGCTTGCATGTGCGTTAGTCTCTGCTAGACGGAGGCCTCTGACTTTCGGGCTGGGATATGATGATTCTAGTGACAATCGTTGCCTGAACTGAGGAACCACTTAGTATACTAATATTCGTCATAGGTCGTTATCCACTTATAGCTAATGTTCTCATCAGATGTGCTTTATTGGACTCGCTTTAGTTGAAGTCTGTGGGTTTGTTAGGTCAGGTGTTTTTTTGCGTACCTAAGAAATGTGCCGCTCGGCGGCTGTGAGTGAAACTCGACCTTGAGCCGCGGTCGTGTGAGTTGCTGAGATGCTTTTTCTGCTGAAAAATGCAGGCAGGACTTGTCCCTTTCTCAGCAGGGAAACACCCCTAAACCCCAACCTAAACCCTAAACCCCAAACCCTAGACCCTAAACCCCAAAAACCTAAACCCTAAGATGTAAAGCCTGCTGGCCGCGAGGCTACCTGGACCCGCTGTCGTTCGTCCTGCTGACGGCCCTGGAGGTGCCGGATTCCTCCGCACCCCTTTGCTGAGTAGGGTTTAGGGTTTGGGGTTTGCGGTGCAGGGTGGTGCGGGGTTCAGGGTTTAGGGTTTAGTGTTTGGGGTTTGGGGTTCAGGGTTTAGGTACTGAAAACAAGGAATCTTGGATTGAGCGCACATGTCGTTTGCTCACGACGTAAGCCGTTGGTCCTTGGGTAGAGTCTTTGCAGGCCAGTTGCAGAAGGGGTTTAGGGTTTAGGGTTCAACCCAAACCCTAAACCCTAAACCCTAAACCCTAAACCCTAAACCCTAAACCCTAAACCCTAAACCCTAAACCCTAAACCCTAGGCCCGAAGCCCTAAGCCCGAAGCCCTAAAAATGGGGTCTCCGGCCTGTCGGAACTTGGGAGGTCCATCTGCGGCCACTCCTCCCGTGGTGCGAGAGACCGGGCGCCCTCCCTTGGATTCTGTCGCAGTAAACTCTGGCCCTGAACCCTAAGTTCTAAACCCTAATGCCCTCAACCCTAAGCCCTCATCAGGTTGAGGGTTGAGGGTTTAGGGTTTAGGATTCCTGGACCTTGGGGTTTAGTGGCTAGGGTGACACAGGGCCCCCGAGGCCCCGGGCTTAAGGTTTAGGGCTTCCCCCCAGAGAGGTGGTCAAGAGGGCTTAAGGCATCAAGTTCTGGTGTCAGGATGCTAAGGGTGGCTTTTGTGATTCGTTCGGCTAGGTGCTACCAAAAGCGAGCATCTTCTCGAGATGTTGCTTGCGACAGCACATCATAGCAAATTCGGTATGGGGGCGTTGGGAGGCGATGTTGTGTGCCAGAGAGCAATACTGATGTCATGGAACGTGCCTCGGGGTTTTTGAATGTGCAATTCCCTACACTTTCATAGTCCTGTGCCGATAGCCTGCTAGAGAGTGTTTGCTATGCGTGTGGTCCTTTAATCATGCACTGGGTTCTCACAGGGTGCGCTTTTCGCGCGCCATGCCTGGCAGCTAACCCCTAAACCCTAAACCCTAAACCCTATAAACCCTAAACCCTAAACCCTAAACCCTAAACCCTAAACCCTAAACCCAAAACCTTAGGGTTGAGGGGCGATGTCTGCCAGGGCAGCCGTTGGGGCAGCTGGGTGCCCTAGCTTTGGGCCTGGCCTGCCTGGCAGCTCTGTGTCAAGGAGACGCAAGGGGTTTAGGGTTTAGGGTTTAGGGTTTTGGGGTTTAGGGTTGAGGGTTAAGGTTTCAAAAGGGTTTAGGGTTTAGGATCTAGGGTGGTTTAGGGTTCAGGGCAGTTTTGAGGGTTTAAGGTCCCGCCAGTTGGAGGTACTGTCATAGCTGCGCCACCACATCGACCACACCCAGTTAAGAAGGAACAATATTGGCATTGCTCAGCATCTGTCGCGACGGAAAGCCAGAATCCTGATGCTGAACCCGCGCCCGGCAAACCGGCAATACATTGGCTGTCAGTCATGTCTGATGGTATCTGGTCCCTGTTGCCCATTGCTTTTCTCGTGGTTGGTTTGGGGGGTTGGATGGTGGCTGTTGAGAGTGACCTGGCCTGTGGGCTTCCAGCTTTGTACTTTCACTTCACAAAAGCCAGCTATGCCATTGTCAGCCTCTTTTTGGGTTTGCAGAGCCCTTGTGCAGGTGAGGAGCTTTGGCATGCCGGCTGGGCGCAGAAGGTGCAGCACCTGCAGAAACGTCGTCAGAGACTTTGTAAAGCGTCCGGGTTTGCAGCCTTCTGTGCGGGGCGCATCGCCGGCAGAAACGTGCCACAACTTGGGGCCTACAAGCTGTGTATGGCAGCGATAGAGGGTTTAGGGTTTAGGGTTTAGGGTTTAGGGTTTAGGGTTTAGGGTTTAGGGTTTAGGGATGATGGAGGGTCTACAAACACGGTGGCCTGGTCGCGGCAGTCTCTTAGCACATCGTAGCGACACCAACTTCGGGGCAGGATGTGTTCACAATTCAGGGGGCTGAGGTTGAGGGGCGTGTCGGAATATGGTACCTTATACGTACTCCGATAAGCACCCGAAACCCAAAGAAACAACAGCCCCCCACCCCCAAATCCCAAGTTCAGGGAGCTGTGCAGGGTTTAGGGTTTAGGGTCTAGGGTCTAGGGTTTTGGGTTTAGGGTTTAGGGTTTAGGGTTTAGGGTTTTGTCTTACCATGACCAGCTCCCGGATCCTCGCCCACGTGTGCGCCAGTTGTGAGAGCCGAAGCCCTAAACCCTAGCCCGCTGACAAAAACAACTTCCTCCAACCCCTACACTATACTCCCCTCAGAACCTTAACAAAAAACATTCCCTTTCCGTTGTATACATATACATATATATATATATGTTTGAACAAACGTTCCACATATAAAAAAGCAACATCCTGAGGGGCTACAGTAAACTCTGCACCGACAGCCGTGGGGGGGATTGGGCGCCAGGGCTTGGGCGTCATGGCGGCGCTGGCACAGACTCTCCTTGGCACGCTGCTCGCCTGCGTAGGTTTAGGGTTTAGAGTTTGGGGTTTTGGGTTTGGGGTTTGGGGTTACTTGGGTCCTTCTCTGAGGGTTTCCGGGAGATTTTTTTTGTTTGGGGGGGGAGGGTTCCTGGAGTTGTAAGGTTGTGAGCCAAATCTCCTCGAGGTGAGGTACAAGCGGCCCAAGGGCAGCAGCTATTCGCTGCGGCAGCTACTTTGCCAACTTGACTCCGCAACCCCCTAAACTCTAAGCTTCAACTTGGATTTTCACCCTTGTACCAGCAGTCCTTCATAGGGATTCTAGGACCCCCAATTCTAATCCCTATTCAGGACTTGTCGTATAAGGGGGAGCATCCCTACCTTCAACCCCTCAATACCTCTTTTTCTTTGTTTATAGAATATGTTACCACGCGGGTACGCCATTCAGATCAGTAGAACCTTGCTCTTGTAGACAGTCCGAGAGATCGTTGTGGCCGGCCGGGCCGTTTTTCTTCTGTTTGCCCGGAGACCAGACCGAACCAACACCCGTTTGGGATTTTTTTTCTTCGTGGGGGGAGGCGATCGGGCCCCTCAAGCCCTTCCATAGACGAGACCCCTGTGCCAAACCGTCAGTTCATGAGGCTTTCGTCGGCGTTGACCTCGAAGCTCTTCCGCGTAGACGGCCCGATGCTGGGTTGCAGTTTGAGAGGAGTTGATCTATGTTAGTGAGCCTTTTTTGGGAGTGCTGAGCATCACGACATGATAAGTCATTGTGATTTTTGAGTATACAACATACTTGAAGTCAAAGTATGACAGGGTTCAGGGGGTGCGGACCTTCGGGCAGCGTGCCGAGGATGGAGCTGCTGCAGGTGGCTCAGCACGCGGCCGGGCTCCTCGCGCCTCGACTCCAGGGCTCGCCCTTTCGGCTCGAAGGTTTAAGGGCCCCAAACTACTCTACGGTTCTTACAGCTATATGGCTTATCTAGCTTGAGGAGTGTTGAATCTCCTCCATGCCCACAAGGTCGAAAGGAATTGGGGGTGGTTTTGAGGGCCATCTTTGGCTTTTGCGCTGGCTTTCGTCCGCTGTGTAGAGTCCTGAGGCGTCTCGTGGGCGTCTCGTGGGCGTCTCGTGGGCGTCTCGTAGGCGTCTCGTAGGCGATGTGGGTTAGGGCAGAAGCGTTTGCAACACAAGCCCTGACAAGGTTTTGACACGTTCAGGCCACAACGTGCAACGTCTCTGGCATCCCCCTCATGCCTTCAGACCTGAGAGGCACCACCCTACGCCTTTCCATCGTAGGCTTGGGAAAGAGTGTATGAACTTTGTGCCCAAGATGCGCCCCTTGATGTGCCCACGCTCATGGCTTAGGACCCAGAGTATGTCCCCCCTTCCTTTGTATGTTTTTTTTGGCGGGGGGGGGGGAGTTAGGTTCCCTGTTGTCCCAGGGTCTCATGCGTCTAGTGGCTCAAGCCCAGCGGCGGGCGTCTCCCTGACCCTCCGGTGACCTCCGGACGCTTCCCCAGCGGCTCGAGCCATGGGGACGCCAGGGCTCGAACCGGCGCAAAGTTTTGTTCAACTGCAGGCGTCCCCTGCTTCGGGTTTAGGGTGTAGGGTGTAGGGTGTAGGGTTTCGGGTGTTTAGGGTCAAACAACAAGGGTTGAGGGTTTTGTTCAACTGCAGGCGCGGGAACCCAGAACCCTGAAGCCCTACTTGGAGGCTCAGCGAGTTCGATGTAGTGTTGAGTCAGCGAAGCCCTAAACGCTAAACCCTAGCCTGCCTGGCGCGACTGTCAGAGCCGAAGCGCGAAGCCGGAAGCCCTAAACCCCAAACCCCACTCAAATGCTCAAACCCTCAAAACCTCAAACCCTCAAACCCTCAAACCCTCAAACCCTCAAACCCTCAAACCCTCAAACCCTCACACCCTCAAACCCTCAAACCCTCAAACCCTCAAACCCTCACACCCTCAAACCCTCAAACCCTAAACCCTAAACCCTAAACCCCCCAAACGCCCCCTGGAGGTGGCGCCGCGGGCGCCCTTGCGACCCGCGCCCCGAGGTGCCCCGGCACCGCCCCGACGGACCGGCTCTGCTGGTCTTGGGGCCTCCTGTGCCTTGGGGGGGTTTGAGGAGGTTTAGGGTTTAGGGTTTAGGGTTTAGGGTTTAGGGTTTAGGGTTTAGGGTTTAGAGGTGTAGGGTTTAGGGTTTGAACCTAAGGTTTCGGGTTGCAGGTTCAAGGTTTTGGGTGGGGTTTAGGGGTTTCTTGGGCGTGGGCTTGCTTTGGAGTCTGGAGCTTTAGGTTTGGGGTTGAACATTGAGTTCAGAGCCTGTGGTTGGCGCACTTAATTCCCCAAAAGCTTCTGAACCTCAAAGACCTATAGCCTATAACACCAAACCCCAGCACCCCTAAACCCTAAACCCTAAACCCCAAACCCCAAACCCTAAGCCCCAAACCCTAAAAACCGAAGCCCTAAACCCCAAGCCCCAAACCCTAAACCCCAAACCCCACACCCCGAACCCCAAACCCTAAACCCTAAACCCCACACCCTAAACCCTTAAAGAGCCTAGCTAGAAGGTGCCGCGGTGGCCTGCTTGGCTGCCACTCGGCGCCGCGGCCGAAGTGCGCGCGCCGCGTCCTTTGGCCCGGCGCCCATCTCGGAGGAGCAGAAGAAGGAGAGGGTTTAGGGTTTAGGGCTTGGGGTTTAGGGTTTAGGGTTTGGGGTTTAGGGTTTAGGGTTTAGGGTTTGGGGTTTAGGGTTTAGGGTTTGGGGTTTATGGTGGCACCTCCGAGGGCCCAGGTTCAGTTAAGGCTGAAAGGTTTTAGTGTTGGGGCTATAGTATTCCTGCGTCCGGCGTCGCCCTCAGCTCGGCTGAAAAAAAAAGGGGGCTTTAGGGTCTAGGGGGCCAGCTGGAAGGGTTAGAACCCTAAGCCCTAAACCCTAAACCCTAAACCCTAAACCTTAGGGTTAGGGTTCTGTGGTTTTCCGGGTGGTGTCTTGAAGCCTGTTTCGTAAGGGTTTCTGGTTTCTAGAATTTCGTTTTCTTTGGACTGGCTTAGAGGATGGCTCTCGTTGTTGCTGGGGGCGGTTGTTTTGCTTGCTGGGAGATTTTGGCGTTGATCCTGTTGGGTTTAGGGTTTAGGGTTTAGGGTTTCGGGTTTAGGGTTTAGGGTTCAGGGTCTTAGGTCTTAGGGTTTATAGGCTTTAGGGCTTGGTTTGCTCAGGACGACCTGGGATGCAGAGGTTGATGGTTTTAGTGCCTGAAAGCATGCAGACGTTGAGCTGGGCCCCCAGAATCCTAAACCCTGAGCCCCAAAGCCCGAAAACCCCAAAAGTCACTTCCCCAAACTCTGACTGGGAGCTATAGGATGTTGCAAAAAAGATTATGGCTGGGGGCCGGCTCCACCGCCGTTGAGGGGTGTAGGGTTGGGATGTTCTTTCTTTCACCAACAGTCCTTCGTAGGGGACAACAGGGGTGCTCTAATCCGGTAAAGGACTGCTGGTATAAGGGGAACATCACAAGCTTAGGGTTTCAATCCTGTGTTTAGGGTTTAGGGTCTATCAGAGTCTTTGCTTCCGGCTTGTGGTTGAGGCTTCGCTTAAGTCATATGAGGCTGTAGGGCCCAGGATGCTAGAGGTACAGATGTAAGGTTTAGGGTTTGGGGTTTCGGGTTGAGGGTTAGGGTTTCGGGTTCAGGGTAACATTCCGAATTCAATGGTGAGTGGTGGCACCGCCACAGGGGGGGGAGCTTCGAGTCAGCATCGTGGGAGGGGTTGCTAGTGCGTTCCCAAGGTGTAGAGGCATTCGGGTTTAGGGTTTAGGGTGGTCGGTCTGGTTGATCTGAAGCCCCTAACCATGCCCCTGTCAGGCGGTAGAAAGGAAGCGTGCTTAGTTGCCAGGACGTGGAGTCATCTCAGCTGGGCGCCCGCGTGTCCTACGTCGTCCTGAGCAACATGCAGGCCATCATGCGCCAGCTGGATCAGTACGGCTACTCCCAGGTGGGGGACAAACCTTGCAAACCCCCAGCCGTAATTCAGAGGCTTCCTGAAGAGGTCAGGCGATGGCTGGGCTAAGGGTGTTAGGTCATGTGCTGGGTTTAGGGCCTTTCCGGGGGTTGGGGGGGGGGGGACAAGAGTAAGTTTAAGAAGGATCCCAAACTTCCGAGTCGCTACGAGAGGTTTGTCATTACGAATAGTATTCCCTTATGGTCCCTTTGACAATCTACAAAAACAACCCCCCAACACCCTTCTAATCATTAAGGCCCCTATTTTATACGCTTTCTTGCAAAAAGGGGGGCCCTGCAAGTTGAACGGCCAAGTGCTGCGCGCAAGTGAAACGGGGTTGTGCTTTGGGATGATTGTTCATTTCCCTTCTTCCCTTAGAAGGGAACCTATTCATAGATAATTTTCGAAGGGTTTAAAGGACAATCCAGTACAACTACCGAACACAGAAGGTTGCCAGGCCTTCGCTTGTTCTGCGGCTCTTTGGAGGGGGGGATGGGTTGCAGTCTTCCTTTCCATCATGGGTTCCCCTACTACCCCCCCTCTATACTATTTAGGGTTTAGGGTTTAGGTTTAGGGTTTAGGGTTTAGGGTTTAGGGTTTAGGGTTTAGGGTTTAGGGTTTAGGGTTTAGGGTATCCCCCCCCAAGTTCGCCCCCTTAAATAGTCTCAATGAGGCTTAATGATGGAGGGGGGTCCCTGATTTCATGTCTTGGGAAGCTGCCGGAGTGCAGCGCATCGAAGGCAAAGCTCTCCGCGTTGAGTTTGCTGCCTTACATTCCTCTGTTCCTGGAGGGGTAGATGGTTCTGTCCCAAAATAGGGGGTAGCTTATGCCGTAGAACCCAAATAGAAGGGAATCCTCTTAGAGGGGTCCCCCCCCTCCCCCCCCCCCTAATCTCGGAAACCCCAGAATGTGTGTGCGTGCGACGCAAGATTCAGCTGCAAGGCCTCTGCAAGCATGTGGCCCTAAGGTTTAGGGTTTAGGGTTTAGGGTTGAGGGTTTAGGGTTTAGGGTTTTTTTGGGTTTAGGGTTTAGCAAAAAGGGTTTAGGGTTTAGGGTCTTCAAGGCAGACAGTGCAGCAGTCCTAGTCCTCGCCGTAAAAAAGGGGTTTTGGAGGCTTCTGAACACAGTAGAAGCCTGAACTTGGCATCTCAGTCCGGTGTACAAAAAGGTTCCTGGAAGATCGCAGGATGGAGGGGCGACGCAAACTCCTAAGGGTTTAGTGTTCAGGGTTTGGGGTTTAGGGTTTGGGGTTTAGAGGCTGAGCGAGCTTGATGGCGTTCGATGGCGAAGGCGGAGCCAACTTTGCCGTTCCCAACCCTCGCGTGGTGCCAGCGAAGGCCAAGCGGCGGCCAAAGATCAAGAAAGAGCCAGAAAGGGCGCCTGGGTGGTTAGAAGCGGACATGGACGATCAGAAGGCTTGCGACGTGAACCCGGATGACTACCACAATGACTGCTACGAGCCAGACGCTTTGTCCATGTTGCTGTTCTTTGTGCGAATGCAACTGGCGCCACTGCCGTGGCTCGCCCGGAAGCTTCGCGCACATTGGCCAGAGTCGAGCGCGCCAAAGCAGGAAATGAAAGGTGAGGCCCAAACTCCGCTGCCCGCGGAGAAAAAGAGGCTGTCACAGTCGCAACAACTCCACGCGTTCTCAGAATCCCAAGCCCTGCAGTCTCAACAAGAGCTGCTGAGTGCCCACACCATTGCAAAGATTGCCGTCCTGGCTTGGCTCCTAGCAGGCTCCGATCGCACGCAGGTGAGCCTCACAGAGGTCTTCTTGCCAGTCTGGTTGGAGTCCTGCCGGCATGTGGGTAAAGCTGCAGAGATCGCCACGCAGTCCGGGCAAGATGAGACGGAGCTGGCGGACAAAGTGCACAGTCACATGGCGGCCCGGTTTATCGAACTTGCCGACCGGGACCCCAACACTGTCAAAGACTGGAAAAAGATGGAGGTGCCCGCAGCTTTCCATAAGCTTTTCTCACTGATCTCGCGTGTGGATCATCCCATCAGACTTGCGAATGCAACCACGCTTGAGAATTACATGGCCCTCGGCCTGTACTACTATATGAGGTCCCACAAGCGGGCAGCTCTCGCCATGAATCGGATCCTATTTCACTCTGCAGACTCTCTTCTCCTCGGGAAGCTTTCTCAACTCTTTCGCCGCATGTCGCAGCTGCAGGAGATGGCGCATGGTGCTTTCTTGCGACGCCTGGGTCGAATCTCGCACTTCCAAGGCGTGCTCATGGTGGAACCCCCCCAACAACCTGTGGCGCATTTCAGCAGCCTCTCGCCTGAGTACCAGAAGGCTGTCGAGAAAGGCGAGGGGGTCAAACCCCCCCAACAACCTGTGGCGCATTTCAGCAGCCTGTCGCCTGAGTACCAGAAGGCTGTCGAGAAAGGCGAGGGGGTCAAACCCCCCCAACAACCTGTGGCGCATTTCAGCAGCCTCTCGCCTGAGTACCAGAAGGCTGTCGAGAAAGGCGAGGGGGTCACTCTGCTTGTGCTGGCAGAGCAGCTGCTTTGGTGGCCTAGGCACCCCAGCGGAATGCTGTATTTCTTGACGCTCTTGGCCCATGTCTTCTGGATGTGTGTAGCGGTGGCGTGCTTTGTCGTAGTAACGCTTGTCCCAGACTTTCTTCGAGACCGCGAGATCAACTTTGACTTTCCAGCAAACAACTGGTGCAAAGTGGTCTCCGTGCTTTGGCTGATGTATGCTGCAAAGGCATTCCTGATTGTGTTTCTTCGCAACCCTTGGAAGCTGTTGAGGATGTTTGCCCAAAATGCGCGCACCTTTCGCGCGTTGAACAGCATGCTCAAGGGAAAGCACGTGGCTGGCGCCTTGTGCCTTCCACACATCCGAGTGGGGACGCTTGATGACATTCAGGCCTGGTACGAGCTACACGCCCTGGCTGTTGCGAGCATGCAGCGACGCAAGCAGAGCTTAGAGATCGACTTTGGCCTTGGCTTTGTAACTGTGTTAGTGATGGCGGGACTGCTCGTGTGGTACAGCAGCAGTGACCCCGAGTGGGTGCCAGGTGTCTTTGAGTGCATCTCCCTGGCCGCCGTGTTGGCTTTCGTGTTCTTTTCCCTGCCGGCGCTCTTCGTCGGGATGCAAATCAACTTAGTGGGACGAAAGACCATCAACCTCCTCTTGGGACATGCCGCCGAGTCGCGAGCTTACATGTGTCAGGTTCGGCGGGATCCGCGCAATGCCCGCCTCGCGCAAGAGGCCCAAGCCGCCATTGATTTCACAGAAGCTGTGGCTCTACGGCTGAGACTCGATTCGGGCCCTTCGGCAATCTGTTCAGCCTGTCTGCTGCTGTCTCTTTCTTCTGAGCCAAGAAGAAGATCAGATGTGCTCAGAGTTTGTATCCTAGACATAGTATATAGAAAAATATACACCACATGTATATCTCATACATATATATATATATATAAACTAGAGTATGTATATTTTGATAAGATATAATGGTAGAGAGTCTAGTTTTCCAAAGCTTCAGAAGCAGTTGAGGCCTTGTGGTGAAGACACTTGGGATGGACTTGACCATTGCCCAGTTCACTGCCATCGGCTCCCTCATGTCCAGCGCCGCGGCCTACCTGTTGAGGACCATAAGCCTGGATGAAATCTACCAGAGGGTCGCTGCCATGGGATCGGAGCAGTCCAACATGACAGCATAAGGCGATCGCCAGCAACCGAAGAATCAGCACTCGATCGACTTCGACTGCAGTGGTCCTACAGTGGTAGGCCCATGTTCTGGCCTGCTTGTGCCGTACGCCATGAGCCTAGGAGATGCCTTGAACGCCCCAACACAAAATCACTGGCTGTTCTTGGGCACTACAAGCCCTTTGGCTTACTGTTGGTTAGCAGGAATGGGGGGGAGGGGGATATAGCTCATTCCCTCATTCCCTGCTAACCAACAGGAAGTTGGGGTTAGGGAAGGGTACCAGAATGACCACACCGGCAAGGGTGTTTAGGTTCGAGTAGCCCTCAACTTGCACTTAGCCGCCACCAGAGCCTCGGGGTAGTCTAGGGTTCAGGGTCTAGGGTTTAGGGTTAGGGTTTAGGGTTTAGGATTTAGGGTTTAGGGTTTTGGGCATAACTACTCCAGCGCCTGAGATGAATCAGCGCATGAGACTCAACCCTAAACCCTAAACCCTAAACCCTAAACCCTAAACCCTAAACCCTAAACCCTAAACCCTAAACCCTAAACCCTAACCCTAAACCCTAAACCACTCTTGACCACATGTCTTTGCCTTCAGTAGGTCGTGTTTACAAGGGACCCCATGGTGTTCGAGTTTTTTTTGCAGGGGGTTCCCTATGGCCAAAGCTTGAAGGCTCGAGAGCCTAAACATACAGAAAGGGTTTAGGGTTTAGGGTTTGGGGTTTAGGGCTTCACTACTTGCCCCTGCAAGGTTTCAGCTGCATTTTGCTTGGGCTCAGGGTTCCATGTTTGGGGCATATTTGCGTCAGGGTTTAGGAGGCCCTGAACCCTGAACCCTAAACCCTAAAAAAAAAAACCCTAAACCCTAAAACCCTAGGGCGGCAAACTCGATAATGTAGGGTTTAGGGTTTAGGGTTGAGGGTTTAGGTACGAAATCAATATCACTAGGGCTTTCTGGCTTCCTTTGCTGTATGGGGGGGCCGGGCATGCTCTTAAGCCAAGCGACCATCTCTCTTGTCCTCAAGGGTGTGACCCTAAACCCTAAACTAAGCCCCAAAGTCCCTTCAGGTGGACGGCTTCCTAGGCGGCTCAGCCAATGGCTACCCAGATCAGCTTCGCGATGAGATGAAGAGCATGTGCCTGGCCCCATTTTAGGAGGGTTTAGGCCTTCGGGAGTGGGTTTCAGGTGGGCGCTGGTTTGTGTTTTGGTTTGTGCTCTTACGGTGGCTTCTTGGACTTTTCTTCTTTTCACCTTGAAAGAGTTCACAATCCCCCCGACCCAACCTCCAAAACCCAAAAGCCTCAAAGAAGCGCCTGCTTCCGTGTTCGAGGTGTGAGAGATTCGCAACCCTAAACCCTAAACCCTAAACCCTAACCCCTAAACCCTAAACCCTAAACCCTAAACCCTTCAACTACCTTTTGGGACTCTGAAGCGAGGGGTGTTTTGCTGAGAACTTCGGCGATTTCAAGTAGCCTTTGATGAATGTATGCAGAGTATCCAGAATTTCCCCTGCAGAGTGTCCGAGAGGTCAGCTAAGCGGGTGGCAAAAAAACCCTAAACCTAAACCCTAAACCCTAAACCCTAAACCCTAAACCCTAAACCCTCAACCCGAAACCCTAAACTCCAAGGTTCGACAAGGGCTGGTTTGAAGAGGAGCCCGAGTCGGATGCGCAGTTCAAGGTAGGACCCTACCGCGTCACCAACCAGGACCTAGGGTTTAGGGTTTAAAGTTTAGGGTTTAGAATTTAGGGCCAGGGTTTAGGGTTTAGTGTTTAGGGTTTAGGGTTTGGGGTTTAGGTCAAAAGGTTTTAGGGATGCACCAAAGGGTTCAGGGCTTTTGGGGGGTTTTGGGGTTTAGGGCTCTTGGGGTTGACAGTGAGCGCCTGAGAGAGGGAGAGAGAGAGAGAGAGAGAGCGCGAGCGAGAGATAGAGACAGAGAGAGAGAGAGAGAGAGAGAGAGAGCGGGCTTTCGGGGTTTTAGGGATAAGGGTTGGTTTGCGGGGTCTAGGGTTCAAGGCTAGGACACTACAGGGTCTTGGGGCAAAATGGCTCTGAGCTCAGGGTAGCCCTAAACCTTAAACCCTAAACCCTAAACCCTAAACCCTAAACCCCTTTCATCCATACAGGTTCTGGGAGTTTGGTCTTTGGACCCTGGGCTCCCACACCTCATGAGGACCGGGAGCACCGCTTCCGCTACCGCATCAAGGGCCGCACAGCCGAAGAGAAATCAGAGAGGCTCATCGTGAATCAGCCGCTCTGCCAAAGGGATTGGGCTTGGTTCAGGGCTTCATATGGTGTTTGCATGTGTTTCTTTCTTTATTTTGTGCACAGACACATTTTGGTTCTCCCTGCCAGTTTCTCAAACCCTGATACTCACCATGTATGATAAGAATGAGGGTTTAGGCGTCTTGTTTATTGTGGCGCCGGCTCGCAGATGAAGTGTAGATGTATTGTGGGTAAGGGAGAAGCAAACCTGCAACGCCGCCTCGCAGATGAAGTAACACATGTACTGCGTATGTATGTAGATGTATTGTGGGTAAAGAGCAAAGAGGTGGACGCAAACAGGTGTAGGTTCCTCTATATATACACATGCTACCATATGTGTGTAGGCTAAGAAGCCCAGTGGCAACCCCAAACTCTAAGGATGAGCTCTGTAACATCCCCTCAGGCATGACGTGGCAATTATACATAATAATAGAAAATACTAATAATCATATGATAAGATAACAATAATAATAATCATAATAATCATAATAATCATAATAATCATAATAATCATAATAATCATAATAATCATAATAATCATAATAATCATAATAATCATAATAATCATAATAATCATAATAATCATAATCATAATCATAATAATCATAATCATAATAATCATAATAATCATAATAATCATAAAAATCATAATAATAATAATCATAATCATAATAATCATAATAATCATAATAATCATAATAATCATAATAATCATAATAATCATACTAATCCGACTAATCAGAATAATCATAAAACATATTATCAGGTATGACGTGGCGCCGACGGTGGTGAATTTCACCCGCAGCCTCCTTGTGGCTTTCGCCGAGCCGCTGGGGGAGCTGACCGACAACGGCCTCTCCAATACCAAGGGCATTTCCGAGCTTTTTGTGCTTTGTGGCCAAGGAGTCGAGGGTTTAGGGTTGAGGGTTGCAAATAAGCGGGTAGCTTCAGTTTCAACTTCCTTCTCACAAGGGTGTAGGGTTTGAGGGAGAGGGTACCGTTCACACACGTTCACACGGCTGAAGTGTGCGGGCACCATACCTGCTTCGTGCATGCCTTTGCGATTGTGGACCGTGGCTGGCGAAAGCTGCACAAAGTTGACTTTTCTGTACACGGACAGAGGCCATCTACCTGACGAAAGTTCCAGTGTGACCGCTGAGGGCGCCGATACGATGACACACCTATATGCCGCTCCGAGACGCCGATACACCGACCAGGGGATACGCCGATACACCGACGGAGGGAATGAAGAAGGGGGGAATCGGCTTGTCGGCGTATCGATGTATTGAAGTGGGTTGGAAGGCGTGTCCGCATATATCAGCGTATGGGGGGGCGGGGGGAGGGTGCAAGGGATCGACGTGTCGGCGTATCGCCTTTGTTTCACCATTGAAGGCTTGAAGCTGGCTAGACCAGCTGAACACCCTAAACCCAAAACCCAAACCCAAACCCAAAACCCAAAACCCGAAACCCTAAACCCGAAACCCTAAACCCGAAACCCCAAGCCCTAAACCCTAAACCCTAAACCCTAAACCCTAAACCCTAAACCCTAAACCCTAAACCCTAAACCCCAAACCCTAAACCCTAAACCCTAAACCCTAAACCCTAAACCTGAATCCTTTGGTTAGAGAAAACGATGAGCCAGAGAGGAGCTCGCATGGACCGGCGGGTCAGCAACGTGCAGCTCTGCTGTCGTTGAGCCTCGAAACCTCACAACTTGGGGGTTTCGGGTTTAGGGTTTAGGGTTTAGGGTTTAGGGTTTAGGGTTTAGGGTTTAGGTTTGGGACCGTAGTAAGGACTGTTAGTATTAGGGGGGAAGATCCCAACTCACAATTCCTAAGGCCCCAAAGCCCCAAAGCCCCAAAGCTCCAAGACCCGCGACCCCATGGGTTTTGATGCAGGAAAGAGCAGGGGCATCGAACTTAAACCCTAAACCCTAAACCCTAAACCCCAAACCCTAAACCCTAAACCCTAAACCCTAAACCCTAAACCCTAAACCCTAAACCCTAAACCCTAAACCCTTGACGCTAAACGCGAAACCCTAAACCCTAAACCCTAAACCCTAGACCCTAAACCCTAAACCCTAAACCCTAAACCCTAGTAGAGAATTTCGGGCCTTGCAGCTGAGCCCTGGACCCTGAACCCTAAACCCTGTGCGAAGCCTGCTGTTGCAGAGAGTGCTTGCATACACAAGTCTTACTTGGAGGTTCATGGTACTTATTTTCCAATTGTTTCAGGGTTTCGGGTTTAGGGTTTAGGGGGGGGGGGTGCTTATTAACCAATCATAACTACTGTACTTATAACCCACTTAGAAGCTCCTTAAGTGCCCTGATATGGTTACAAGTACAATTCTAAGTACAGTTATTATTGGCCATGAACCTCCAAGTAAACCCCCCAACTGCACCCTTAGGTGTTTAGAGTTTTCGTGGTCGTTCGTCAGCCGCGCTCCAGAACCCAGAGTCTCTGTGGCCGAAACCCTGAATGCAGATAGAACCCCACGGAATCTCGGGCTTTGGAGCTTATCGTTTCGGATTTGGGGTTTTGGGGTTACCCTAAACCCCTAAACCCCTAAACCCTAAACCCTAAACCCTAAACCCTAAGCCCTAAACCCTAAACCCTAAACCCTAAACCCATGAACCCACCAGGTATGGCTGGAACACAGAGCAGGGCTTCGTGCGGGATCCTCGGAAGTTGGTGGCCATCTACTTCGCGAACCCAAACTATCGCGAAGAGCACGGAGGTGCTCTGGGCTGCGATAGGGTTGCCTTGGAGGCTCAGGGCACTTAGAAAACCCATTCTATAAGTGTAGCGATAACCCACATTACAAAGCCCTTATAAGTGTAGCTAGAACCCACATTAACACGTCCCTCAAGTATCCCATAACAGGGTAAAAATTGGGTTCTAAGTCCAGTTACAGGCACAGTCTTCAAGGCAGCCCGAAGCCCTGAACTCCGGGGCTTCACGGAACCCCACACTCCAAGCCCGAAGCACCGTGAGGCTGTGGGTTTCCGAAAATAGGGGACCCCTTTTATTCTAGACCTCCAAATAGTAGGTTTTTTTTCTAATAAGGACCCCAATACGGTACCCCCTAAAATCGTACACCCCCAAAAGGAGCCCGCAGCTTCCGTCCCGAACTGTCCAGGGGTGCTGCAGCTCGAGGGCGTCATCACCCCCACGGGGGCCGTAAGAATCTCGCCGAAGCAAGACAGGCGCCTCGGGGGGGGGGGGGGGTAGTGATGGCGGGGGCTTGGATGGTTTGGCATGGTTTGGGACGGCTTGGGTTGGGCATGGCTTGGGCATGGCTTGGGATGGCTTGGGATGGCTTGGGATGGCTTGGGATGGCTTGGGATGGCTTGGGATGGCTTTCCGAGGTTTCGGAGGGTTGGTCCTCTGATTCGAGGCTTGGGGTTACCCTGAGTGTGACCTTCAAACCCCGTAGCCACTAGGCTTCTCCCCGCGCCTGGTCGCAGCAAAAGGCTCGTCGTCTTCTGGGCAGATAAGACCGTCTGGTCCATGACGCCCTCCCGCGCCTCCATGATCAGCGAACACCAGCGCCCCGGACTTTTTTTGTACTTTCAGACCTTGTGCCTCACAGGGTTTAGGGTTTTGGGTTTAGGGTTTAAGCCTTGAGACAGACCTCTCTCAAAAAGGGCTTAAGCCTGTGCAAAGGGTTTAGGGTTCAGGGCTTAGTTCAAAAGGGGTGTTGATCGGTGTTGGGCTTCCACATTCGGTTGTTTTCGGGTCTCCGTGTTTGCTGAGGTTTTGCGGCGCATTTTTGGGCTGAGGAGGGGCTGAGGGTTTAGGGTTTAGGGTTTGGGGCGGCGGAGGCAGTGGTTGCTACCCAAATGTGGTTTCGGCATCTCCAGATCTGTGGACACCTACTGGTGCAGAGAAATTGGTGAAAAGGAGTTTAGTCAGGCCTTCAAGAGGCCTTGATGTGAGAAGGGTTCAGGAGTTCAGGGATTAGGCATCTAAATCTGGATGCAAAAGGGGTTCGGGACGTATTGACATCTCGGGCGGTTGCGTAGCACGGGTTCACAGATTCGTGCTTAGCGCAGTAGCGTGAAGCCTTAAGCCCCAAACCGGGCTTTCGGATTTGTTGGGCGCAAGCTGAAGAATGCTAGTAGATTAGCAGGGGCCCCTAACCCAATTGCTCTAGAGCCCTAAACCCTAAACCCTAAACCCTAAACCCTAAACCCTAAACCCTAAACCCTAAACCCTAAACCCTAAACCCTAAACCCTAAACCCTAAACCCTAAACCCCAAACCCTAAACTCTAAACCTAGGCCCTGAACCCAAACCCAAGGCTTTGAATCCAGGGAGGCTTTCGGGTTCAGGGGTTTCAAGGTTTTGGTCTAGGACTTGGGGACTTTGACGGCTTGCGGTTTGACAGTTTTAGCTGCCCAGAAGCTGTGCGAAGTACTCGTACTTGGTTTGGTGTCAAGTTGCCGCAGACGGAAGTTGTTCGACCCTCAACTTCCTTTTCCATGATTCCTCAGCCCTCAGCCCTAAACCCTAAACCCTTAACCCTTAACCCATCTAAACCCATCTAAACCTTCAACCCATCTAAGCCCATCTAAATCCATCTAAACCCATCTAAACCCATCTAAACCCATCTAAGCCCATCTAAGCCCATCTAAATCATCTAAACCCATCTAAACCAATCTAAACCCATCTAAACCCATCTAAGCCCATCTAAATCCATCTAAACCTATCTAAACCAATCTAAACCCATTTAAACCCATCTAAACCCTAAACCCTAAATCTGGGCTTGGGCTGGTCCGTCAGGCGACCACGCGGGTTGACGCAGTCAGCTCTCGAAGGCCTCAAGAGTCAGGGACGCAAGGACTCGAGGAGGAGTATCAGGGTGGCGAAAAAGTTCGTGGGGGGGACTCCCCAACCACTTGCGGTGCCTCGATGGCCCGAGTGTGCACTCGTACCTTGTGGCAAGGATGACGAGACGTGCAGGGACGTAAAAGCCCGGAGGTGGGGGCCTATTGGGCATGGAGGTTTCGGGAGCGCAGCGCAGAAAGTGCAGGGATCCCGGGCGGCCTGAGAACTGCTTGGGGGGCCCCGGAAGCCCTAAACCCTAAACCCTAAACCCTAAACCCTAAACCCTAAACCCTAAAGCCTAAACCCTGCTTCTGTAGTTCATGGCGGGGAGGCCTAGCCTGTGGCACTTAGTACTGAGCCCTAAGCCTGAGAGGCTTCAAGCCTCAGCCCTACTGTCAGAAGAGCAGTCTGAGGTATGGCATCATCATGCACATGCCCCATGGCCTGACGTCCAGCGAAGGCTTCAGGTGTAGCTGCCTGCAAACTTCAACCCTAGACCCTCAAACCCTGGAGTCGCAAACCTCCTAACTCAGAGGCCTTCTAAGTCGGCCCTACTGGTGGGTTTCTTACTCTTGTCGGGAGGGGGGCTATAAGTTTCGAAGCTGGAGGGGGAGATTCAGACTTCGGGCGCCGGGACCTTGTTTTAGCATCGCTTAGGGTTTAGGGTTTAGGGTTTAGGGTTTAGGGTTTAGGGTTTAGGGTTTACGGTTTAGGGTTTAGGGTTTAGGGTTTAGGGTGGAAGTATGGCCCCGGTATGGTCGGTGCTCCAGCATGATGTCGCAGCCGGGTAGTAGCGGAGTACCTCAAGTTTTTTCGAGATTTAGAGAGCGGACCATCCCAAATGATCGGGGAGCCTCTCGGTTCTCCCAGGAAGCTGCAGCCCAACTTTTTGGCTAGGGTTTGGGTTTAGGGGTTCAGGTGTTGCGGCCCTCAGATACAGCTTTGAGGTTTGGGCTTCGCTGGCAGTCATCAAGTCCGGTTTCAAAAAGGTGTTGCAGTCCCAGGCTAAAAAGGGTTTGTTCAAAAAAGAGTGGTATAGGGTCTAGAGGGTTTGGCTGCGTTGTGGTGCGCTGTCACCAGTGCCCTGACCCAAACTATATACCCACCCGCATCTCAACCAGGGTTTACGGTTTAGGGTTGGGGTTTATGGTTTAGGGTTTAGGGTTTAGGGTTTAGGGTTTAGGGTTAACCTTGAACCAATGAACTCTGTTGGCTCAGTCTCGGGGCCTCAACGACCGGATGCTAGGAAGATAATGGATTTGTCTTTGCTTCCTGCATCATGGCTTTGCTTCTTGCATACAGATCGATTCCAATGCGTTGGCCCAAGAGTACGAAGCTTGAAGTTGTCCTGCTAAAGAGGCTGATACTGATTAGCCAAATTGTAACTGTACCCAAAAAGCCACTTTGAAGCCCCTAAAGTGCCTGAATATGGTTGTAAGTACAGTTATAAGTACAGTTATGACTGGTTCATAAGTACCATGAACCTCCACCCAGCGACAGCCCTGCCAGGCCAAACTTCAAAAACCGAAAGCCCCACGCTAAACCCTAAACCCTAAACCCTAAACCCCTAAACCCTAAACCCTAAACCCCTAAACCCGAAACCAGAAACCCTAAACCCTAAACCCTAAACCCTAAACCCTAAACCCTAAACCCTAAACCCTAAACCCTAAACCCTAAACCCTAAACCCTAAACCCTAAACCCTAAACCCTAAAGCCTAAACGAGACTCAGGATGGCCAAAGGCGACGTCGACTACAACCCCTCCAACTTCTCCAGGCTGGATTTAGGGTTTAGGGTTTAGGGTTTAGGGTTTAGGTGGCGTTGGGGGCCTCGGGGATGGGGAATTTCTAAGGGTAGCTTATGTGTTCCCTTGATATGGTCGTTCTATGGGCCCGTAACATGGCAGGGTTTAGGGTTTAGGGCTTGGGGTTTGGGGTTTGGGGTTTAGGGTTTGGGGTTTAGGGTTTTTCAAAAAGGCTAAAGGTAATGACTGAATATGGTCCCTTACCTCTTCTAAGGGGTGCTGAAGTATGGGCCCTTGGGTTGCCCAGGGTATACGGGGCATAGAAGGCGTCCCCTGTCAAGGGCCCATATTAAGAGACCATGGAAGTACCCTAAGAGAGAGCCTCCTTGTGTTCTCGAGGCCCTGGGCTGGTTCGGGGCTGCTAGGAGCAGGACTCATGAAGCCCCTCAAGAGGAGAACAAAAGGAGCTGGTTGGTCACGTTTGTAGGCGTCGGGGTCAATTCGGCTTGTGTTCGGGCTTACAGCGTCTCAGAGCCGGCGTGTTGCTTTGTTGCACGCGCGCTCCCAGGTGGTTTCCAGAGCTGCAAAACCTTCCCATGGAGCCTGGGGCGGAGCAGAGGGAGGGTCAACGTTGCAGATTGCGGGTTTTCACCACTTCATTGAAGGGGTTTCTTCAGCATTTTGGACTTTTGATAGTTTTCCTTTTTCGGGCTGATCCGGGTCATGGCACGGTCATGGACACAGAGTTCCAGGGACAGGTTGCCGATTGCTGGGGTGCCAATCATGCAGTCCTGCCTGATGGCGGGTTCTAAGAAGGGAACGAGGGAATGAGGTGCCCTATATAATCCCTCAAAGGGCATACACTAGGCCCCCCTAATTCCCTCATTCCAATCTTCAAACCCTGGCCCTCAACCTATGAGGCTGCGAGGCAAGTGGCACACAAAACTCTAAACCCTAAACTCTAAACCCTAAACCCTAAGCCCTAAACCCGAAGCCCTAAACCCCAAACCATAAACCCTAAACCCTCAACCCTAAACCCTCAACCCTAGACCCTAAACACTAAAGCCGCTCGCAACCCAAGGAGTGGCCCCCAAGAGCCTTCAGCCCACCGCAGCAGTGAGAGCTGCGTCTGTCAGAGTTGCTTTTCTTAGCTTCCTGGTAGGGTTCAGGGTTCAGGGTTCAGGGTTTAGGGTGTAGGGTTTGGGGTTTAGGGTTTAGGGGTTAGGGTGTAGGGTTTAGGGTTTAGGGTTTAGGGTTTAGGTGCTTAATTTCGGGTTTACAACTCCTAGCCCTCAACCCTTGAAGCGCCCCCCAAAACCCTAAACCCTAAACCCTAAACCCTAAACCCTAAACCCTAAGCCCTAAGCCCTAAGCCCTAAGCCCTAAGCCCTAAGCCCTAAGCCAAAAACCCCAAGCCCTAAGCCCTAAACCCTAAACCCTAAACCCCTAGGCCCTGCAGACCAGATCTCACACCACCGATGGCAGTGCGGCAAAGACTCCGGCGGAATCCTTTCCTTTGGGTGGCGTGCGAGAGGAAAGAGTCCCGACACGCTCGCTAGGGTTTAGGGTCTAGGGTTTGGGGTTAGGGTTTATATCGGGTTCAGGGTTTAGGGTTTAGGGTTTCGGGGGTTAGGGTTTAGGGTCTAGGGTGTAGGGTCCAGGGTCTAGGGCTTGGGGTTTAGGGTTTAGGGACAACTCCCCCAAAAGCTTCCCAAGATTTCCGTCCGTGAGTCCCTGAGGGTACAACCTCCCACAACCCTGCAGCTGCACCTTCACCCTAAACCCTAAACCCTAAACCCTAAACCCTAAACCCTAAACCCTAAACCCTAAACCCTAAAGCCTAAAGCCTAAAGCCTAAAGCCTAAAGCCTAAAGCCTAAAGCCTAAAGCCTAAAGCCTAAAGCCTAAAGCCTAAAGCCTAAAGCCTAAAGCCTAAAGCCGAAAAGCCTAAAGCCTAAAGCCGAAAGCCTAAACCCCAAACCCCCATACCCCTCACATCAATCCCAGCTTCCCCACATATTTTGCCCCGGGGGCGCACCCACAAGACCTCTCACACTTAGTACCCCTAAACTCTTCAACCCCCAAGCCTTGACTCCCAAACCCCGAAGCCTGATGCCCTTCCAGAAGCCCGAAGCCAAAAGCCCAAAACCCTACACCCTAAACCCCAAGCTCCACAAGTAGTGGAATAAGCCCCTATAGTAAGGTCCTTCTCAGCTGCACACTGATGCTGCCGCCAGCCTGCAGCCAATGTAAGAGGATTCCGGTGATGGTTGTGGATCAAGGTTTCCGGGTTTAGGGCTTAGGGTTTCTGCTTTCAGGTGTTGCCGGCAGCCTCCTCAGTCCGTGCTTACAAAGGGGCTTAGGGTTTAGGGTCACCCTTCCCAGCAAGTCACACAGTCCAGCCTGGGTTCAAAGGGGTTTAGGGTGACCACAGCCCTGAGGAAGAGAGTTTGAGGCATCAGGTGGAGCGGAGTCCCTCCCTCAACCATGAAACCCTCACGCCCTCAAAGCATCGAACCCTCAACCCTCAACCTTTGTGTGCGGGAGTGCAAAACACAAGCCCCAAACCCCGAAGCCCTAAACCCTAAACCCTAAACCCTAAACCCTAAACCCTAAACCCTAAACCCGAAACCCTAAACCCTAAACCTGAGAACTTCTGAGTGGTTCGTCCAGCTTGGCGGGTGCAAGAAAAGGCACTAAACCCTAAACCCTAAACCCCATAGGCGGGTTTCAAAAACTAAGCCGCAAGCCCCCACCCCCCCTGAACCCCCCTCAAAACCCCAAACCCAAAAACCCAAAAACCCAAAAGAGCCCCCTAAACCCCCCTTGGCCCCCCCCCCCCCCCCCTCCCCTCGAAAGCAGGTCGGATTTGCCAGGGTCCCTGGCCTCCTTCTGGCATACGGCATCTGGGTCAAGGAGCCCCCCCTTTATTATTAGGCCTTAGGGTTTAGGGTTTAGGGTTTAGCGCCTCGGGTTTCGGGTTTAGGGTTTTCGTTTTTGGTGTTATTACTGTTGTTTGGAATCAGGCTTATCGGGTGCACGACTGGAAACGCTCCAAACCCAACAGGCCCTCAAACCTCAAACCGCCCGGAATCCTAAAACCTCCGCCCCTCTCGGGTTTAGGGTTTAGGGTTTAGGGTTTTTCAAACTCCTTCAAACCCTAGACCCTCGTGCATCCGGGCTACACCCTACCCCATAAACCCTGAACCCTTACCTTTGCCCTAAACACCTTTCAAGCCCTAAACCCCTTCAAATTTAAACAGCTCCAAACCAAAAGCAACTTATTCAAAAAAATACCCTAAACAACCCAAAACAGCAACCTAAAAAGTAAAAGCACCCTAAAACAAGGGGTTTCGAGTGTGTTGTCGGGTGTGGGGTTTGGGCTTTCTATGGCTGCCTTAGGGTCGAGAGTCCAGTTGGTTGAGGGTTGGCTTACGGTTTCTAGAACTGATGGTTTTTAGGGTTTCTGCAGCCTACTGTGGCGTTAGAGGGCTCGATTGCCTACGAAGACCCTAAGCTCCAACCCCCAGACCCAAACCCCTCCAAACCTTCCCAAACGCTCCACAAAACCCCCACAAAGCCAGAAATTCTAAAGCCACTAAAGCCCAAAACCCTAAAGCCTCTAAAGCCCAAAACCCTAAAGCCTCTAAAACCCAAACCCCTAAACCCTAAACCCTAAACCCTAAACCCTAAACCCTAAACCCTAAACCCTAAACCCTAAACCCTAAACCCTAAACCCTAAACCCTAAACCCTAAACCCTAAACCCTAAACATGCCCGCAGGTTCATCTTCTTGGGGGGGCTCTGCATTGTGGCGCTCAACGTCGGCGGCCCCTACCTCCAGCAGGAGGCAGCTCAGGGGCTTGTTTGGGCTCGCGGTTGAGGGCTTAGGGTTTAGGGTTTAGGGTTTAGGGTTTAGGGTTTAGGGGAGGCATTTGGGGGTTTCCGAAATTAGGGGCAGCCTATTGGGGTCCTTATTATAAAGGAATCCTAGAATTTGAGGGTTTAGGGGGCTTCAGACGGGCAGCTAAGCCAAGACCCACTTCAAGAATTGAGGTTCGGAAGAGGGTCAGGGGTTCGGGTTCTAGGTTCAAAAGGGGCTTGAGGTTGGGTTCATTTTCAGCATTTGGCGAGTGCACACAAGGCCTCCTCAGATTGTTGGTGAGTGCATTCATGGGGTAGCTTGTGGGGAGACTCGAAATCCAAAGGCTTACTTTTAGGCGCGTCGTCTTGAACACTGAACCAGCTCTGTCTTCGAATATGTAATCTTTTTAATATTTCCTGTTGCTTCCCAAATTCCCCTGAATCAACAATGCTGGGATGATGCATACAGCATGTAGAAACGATAAGCCAAAAAATGCATTTTTGCCCTTGATGGGCTTTCATACGAGACTGCAAAGGGGGTGGGGGCTGCGGGAGTACCCAAAACCCTGAAGCCTAAACCCGAAACCCAAAACCCTAAACCCTAAACCCCCTAAGCCCCCTACAAAGATAGACTCAGCAGGTTCCTGCTCGCCTCGCCTCTGGTGGGCCGTTGGTTCAACTCCTCGCCGTGGCGGCTCTCCAGATTTGCCTTTCCGTGCCTTGGCACAACCAATCTAGGGTTTAGGGTTTAGGGTTTGGGGTTTAGGGTTTAGGATTTAGGGTTTAGGGTTTAGGGTTTAGGGCGGGTTCAGGGTTTCAGGGTTTAGGGGTTGGGGTTTACGGTTTAGGGTTTGGGGAAATCCAGGCTTTTCTTTGACTGTTGGTTAGCAGGGAATGAAAGAGTGAACTACTACCATTCTAGTTACTACTGCTACCACTCTTTCGTTCCCTACTAGCCAACAGTAAGTTTTGGGGGACCTCGAGGTGGAAATCTCCGGCTGGTTTTGGGTTTGTGGGGTGGTTGCAGATCTGCCTCGGTGGGAGCATCGTGTTTGGGGTGCCTGAAGTTTGCTTCTCCGTTTCAGGAGGGGGAAGCCCCATCAAAACAGCGGGGGCTCAGGACTTAGGGGGAAGTTGGGGGGGTCAAAAACCCTAAGCCCTGAACCCTGAACCCTGAACCCTAAGCCCTAAACCCTAAACCCTCAACCCTAAACCCTAAACCCTAAGCCCTAAGCCCGAAACCCTAAACCCTGCAGTCTCCAAGCCACAGGCGCCCCAAGGCGCAGGGGACCCGGGCCCCACGCATGCTGCAGCTGCCAGGATGCCATGACGATGCCGGCGCCCTCCTCGCAGACTTTGCAGGCAGAATCGGGAGCTTAGGGTTTGGGGTTTGGGGTTTAGGGTTTGGGGTTTAGGGTTTAGGGTCTCATTGTTTTGGGCTCCTACCTCGCCGTCCGGCTGCAACCTGTGCTTCATCACTTCTGGGGGGAGGTGTTGAGGAGGAAGCGTTCTCAGTGCAACGCGAGGACTTTGGAGCCCCAAACCCTAAACCCTAAACCCCAAACCCCAAACCCCAAACCCTAAACCCTAAACCCTAAACCCTAAACCCTAAACCCTAAACCCTA